GTCAGTACAAAACCTTTGATGCCGCATTATCAAAGTGCCGATGGTTAAAACAAAACTATGCATGCACTCTGTTTGATTTTAATGGATATTTTTTTATTCGCTATGTATGTTTATGGTATTGGTCGTAATGCGCATAGGTCCAGTTTTTCATATTCTTTGATAGTTTTTTGCGTCTCATAGAATTCCTAAGCGTACCTATACACCGAACTGTTATACCTAACTACTCCGTGAAATAGTGCTAAGTCCTAGCTGCAAGACGCAAGAGTCTTGCCGGATTAGTCTTGTTCTTGCTCAAGTCTTGCACGGTCAGTCTTGGTCTTGGTCTTGCTAAAAATACGCGGTCTTGTTCTTGGTCTTGGTCTTGCAAAAATGCAAGAACAATACCAAGACTGAATTTGGGCAACACTAACTTAGGCCAATGGAGAGAGCGATGCTTGGCATCTTCCTGCTCGATAGAATTACTTAGAAATGAGGAAATTCTCAGGAGAACTTCAGTAACTAACATCGCTCAAAGGATTGTTCAGCTGAAGTGGCAGTGGGCGGGACACATAGTGAGGAGAACAGAACTCGACTAAATCCCTATTAAGCATCGTCCATAATAATCACAGAACACAGAAAGAGGTTAGAAGAGTGTGCTCATAGACCGTTTGTACGGGAACTAATGTCGCTGGCTCGCCCCCATTATTAAAAAGTAGCCAATCAAACGAAACGACGTCAAACAATCGAGCCAATCAGCGCTAACACCCGAGAGCAACGTCGCAATCAGAACCAAGTTTTGGTTAAGTTATGAGCATTTACTCACACATAACTGTGGCGCGCCTGCCCCGCCCACAAGGGGGCACAATTACCAATCACATCACAATCTTTCACGTTTTTTCAATGTTCCATGATAACAACGGTCAGGCAAGGCCCGATCTAGAAATTTTGCCGCTCTGGGCAAATATTTTTGCCATTAGTGACGTACTGTACGGCTAGTCAATTTTACCCTCTTTGCAAATGCCTGGCTCACCACCCCTTGGATTGGGCCGGGGGTCAGGACCATTAAGTTATGTGTTCGGGGCAACACAACATGTTTTATATTTTTACTAAACGAAAGCAAATGCATGTAGCATCAGATTACTTTTGATTAAATTAAAATGCTCAGCTTGACTAAGGCCACACTGTTTGTCTATAAAGTTGTGACATTAAATAATGGCGCCACCAGTATGCATGTAGCAATCCTATACAGTCTGACCAAAATGATTTTGATACTAGCAGTTCATTCAAGTAAAATAGGTAATTAATAAGATACACTATACAGTCGTATTTTGTTTCTGTTTTATATATAGAAGGTACCTATGCTTATAAAAAGTTTAGCCAAGCATCTTTAATTGAATCAGAATAAAATTATTATAGATAAAATAGTACTTTATAGTGTAAAAGTGTGTAATGTTGGTGATTACCGCTGAGGTGCCATTGAGACCAGAGCCGTTAGGTAATCATCAATACACACAAGTATCACCATACGACGTTTTTTAACACACTTGTTAACAAAATAATACTAAAAATCATTTTATAGTTTATAAAAAGTTTATTTTGAGAAACAATTTGTACATGTGCAGTTAGTAAAATTAGTGATAGGTATCTTCACTAAAAGCATCTGGCCATGGTTCTTTATGTGACCATTTCTTTCTTTGGTCGGCCTTGCCTGTTTTCCCAGGAGTTTCAAACTTTCCATCATTCTTAAAACCTTCTTTGACTATCTGACTCCCTGATTTTCCTGAAAAAATGTAAAAAATATGTAACGGAATAGAAACAATAACTTATTGACATGAAGCAATTAATTCAAAATTGGTAGAAAACCTGACCGAGTTGAACCATAATAACGTATCAAAAGAAATGGTCGTACTACAATATTACCTATTTACAATGTCAATCTAACCTAAAAATGTGCAATGTAAACAATGCCTTTTTTGGTGTCAAAATCGTAAATTGAGTAAATTTGTAACTTCAGGCAGATTACAAACAAATAGTTACACGATTACATACCCGTCATAGATGCTGTTCGCCCATAGATGAATGATTAGTCTCGCTACACTCGACTAGATACCGCGCTGTCAACAAACAGCAGCTCCTTAAATGCGACAACTCATTATTGTAGTGTGTGTATGTATGTCAATTTGCAATGATGCTAGCAAATGTCATAGATCGTGTAGCCAGCTGCTCAACTGCTACCCAAGTAATAGGGAAAATATTGTACGTTATAATTAATATGTACCAGGTTATAAATGTAGCTCATAAAATACTTGAAGAAGATGTACTTAATTAAATGGGAATATATCACTATTTATGTGTACATAAACGATTAGGCGTAGGTTTCTTCTTTAAAAATGCTTAGGCCTCAATTTTTTTTACATGTAATATTTACTTGTACGTTATAACAGTGATTCAAGTGTGATAAGTTGGTCACTATAAACGAGACATTATTGTTGAATGAACATGAACTTCCAAACAGCAACATCCTCATGATCGTGGGTTTATGATCGTGAATTATAGAACCCTCATATTGTAAACATTAAAAATATGTATATTTCACATATTGTATTATGCTTATTCAGTCCCCATTTAAAATATATAAATATGTATTGTATGTGTGTACCTGAATGTATATATATTTATGTATATATGGGTAAAGGAAAAAAAAATAGGTTCTTAATGTACACCTATATTTTCCCCTAAGAACAGAACAGATAAGGTCTGTATTATTATAATTTTGGAGGTTTTTTTCACTATGTTAGTAACTGTCAGCATCTCATATTTTCTTTTTTAATCACATCTGTTCGTTTTAAAACCTTATTGTAATCTGTGGAAGTCGTAATTGGCTTTCAAATTATATATCATTGATTGTAATTCCAATATACATATAAGCTGTGTACTGTCCCTTAAATAAATAAATAAAAAAAATAAACTTGGTAAGGAAGCTGAGTGTGTAATGATCAATGCACACGAGCTGCATACGACGTTTTTCAACACAATTGCGACGAAAAAACAAACTTCTAGTTAGTAACTGTTATAATCTTTCAACTGACCTTTGCAGCTTTGTTGCCAAGTATTTTGACATTACGGAGCTACCTTCAAAAACTTTTCAAAATCGGTTGGTGACAAAACTTTTGACTTTCGGCCAATATATCTATAAGAACGTCGCTTTAGAAATGTCGTCATGTTACTATATATTCATAAATCAACTGGCAGCAACAGCCTATCACTCGCGTTTCGTGCCTCGATAAGTATTTCCGGCGGGGTTGAATTAAAATTGCGCAAATATTATTTATTAATGCGCTCACAGGTTCAATAACGGCACAGGAATTATTTTTAATAAAAATAGAAACGAATTCAAAAAAACTGAAAATGTAAAATAAGATTTACCGTGAAGTCGATCGTTATTATTATCATGAACTCCCTGCTAAACACATACCTTGGTATCGACTTCAAGTATTACAGGCGGTAAATCAATTATTTTTAAGTCGGTTTTATTTTTATTAAAAATTATTTCGTTGTCCCATTTTTAGTGTTACACAGAATACGCTACTAGATGGAAATTGTACAAGCGTAGATCCACACGGGTAAAACCGTGAGACATTGCTTATAAAATTATCTACTAAATCCTTCTCAGAAATGCTTATTTACGCATTAATATGCGTGAAAACCCCATCCAATTCGGATCCGTAGATTTGAGATTTTCATGGTCAAACATGCATACATACAGATCAAACTGAGAATATCCTTTTTTGAAGTCTGTTTAAAGACCGACTGTGCAGCCGGAACAGCAGCAATATAAAGATAGAATAAATTATAAGTATAAATAAATGTTTCTTAATACGTTAGTTAAGTTAATTTGTGTTTATAAATACAAAATGATTTTTTTATTTGTCATCTTAACCCTAAAATAATTTTCATAATATGATAAAATTAAAAAAAAAATACACAAGTATGGTAGTTAATATGCTGAATTGTGAAACTAAAAACTGTGTAAATAATAAGAGTCAGTTTACGAGAAAATGTGTTGAAAAAATGATATAAAAAATAATCACAGATTGTCAAAGGAATAAAAGGTAGATTACAAAGATAAACGTTGAATAATATAAAACTAGGTAAAGTTTAAATAGTAAGCTTAAATAACATAGGTTCAATAATAAAATACACTAACAATAAATTCGCATTATAAATAAAAATCTCAACCATAGGGACTTGATTCTTGTATATGCGGCAACACCTGAATGACTTTTAGGGTTCATGTTATTTTCTGTTGAAATTTTGAAATTTTACTATACTTATTGATGTTATGTGATCCCAGCGTGTTTGTTATTTATTATTGTATTATTTCACTATATAAACTGGCATTTTACTTTCAATTAACACCAAATTTTAATAAAAAATTCACTAAGTACATCCCATACACAATTGTCAGGTTGACTGACTCGGTGAAAGCTCGGGTATGCCGATTTCGGCATAGTATTTGTTGCCGCATTAGACAAGTACGCCGGCGGTATCTAGTTGAGTGAAGCGAGACCAATCATTCATCTATGTGTTCGCCCATAAACATCATCCAAATCCCACAAAATTCGTCCAGCTTGGTAGTCTTCGAAACATCGCTGGAAAACTTTAAAAATCACTTCCCGCGTGCCACTCCGATTTACTTTACTCATTTTTATACCTTTCTGCATAGTTTCGTCTTAATTTATTACAGTTTAATCCAAAGAATCCAAACAATAAAAAATGCAAAAGGAAAACTATTCCACAACTGAAACTCGATGACAGCTGATGGTATATTATACTACTCTTTGCAGCTGATGTTGCGATGACAGTTTGGTGTTGCCAGACACATGAATAATGTTAGTTCCTCAAACATTCATGTCACGACTTAATAGACAAACTAATCATAAAAAAAAAAATGGCAGTATGATTTAAATGACTTCGGCATGTGAATTTTAAAAGTAACAATTCGTCAACAATAATCTGTCAATTTGACATTCAGTGAAATTGAAAAATATCTAATACGGGGAGCGAGTTCACAATTTTGTATAAAATTACAAATGAAAACGATGGTTTCAGTGGATTTTTCTAAATAAAAGAAATGTCGTCGAAATTGCCCCCATTTATCTTACAAGAACTGCCAAATATAAGCGAGACTATTCAATTTCCACTACAAAGTGTTCAACGCATAAAGGTTAGTGTAACACACTGTTTATTGGCGTACTGACAAAAGTAAATGAGTCACTTAAACGCAAATTATGTATGAAACAAATAGTCCTGATAAATGACACTTTATAAGTTTTTTTCTAACTTTTGACTTATGTAACATTCCACCTTACAATGCAAATTTTACTGCAGGACTTGAAAAAGCTCTTTGTGCAGAATGTATACCAAACTTTTTTTCAAAAGCTTTCAACGCCCTTTTTGTATTGCCAAATTACAATCAAATACAAAAATGCTTTATCTGTAATTTTTAACTTTACATTTGAATAAAAAGGGGCTTCTGTATATTTTTATTACATTTTCATTTATCTTTTGTTTGATCTTTATTATGAATTATTCTTATACTTAATAAAGATACTTAATAATATTATTATTAATAATGCAATAATTCCAGAGGCACTGCTGGCTAAACGGTACAACCGCGATACCAAGGTTGAATGTATGTTATATTTTTTACTGAAAAGATCTGTATTTAAGAAGTAATTTGTGCTAAGTTTCATCTCCCGGAGATACGTAGTTTCTTTGAAAAAAAAATATGAAAATCGAAAATATTTCGTCAATAATGACTAAACTTTGACAGGTTTGTCATATATTGTACTTGTTAGTTTTGTTCAAGCAAAGGTAATGGGTTTATAGAGCCTTGAATAAAACGTTTTGATTTTAAATTTTTTAATAAATTTACTGTAAACTTGCAAACAATATCTGATAGTTTAAATGTATACTTAAAAAATATGCGCGCATATGTTAAAGTATTAAATTTTTCTATATTTGAAAAAGTTTGTGATGATAGAATTGTGTTTGTCAGTTTTACTGCGGTATAACGAAACGCAAAAACGACGCCACTGCCAACTGTCAGCTGTCACGTCAGTCACTGTTTATTCGTCTTACAGTTGAGATCGTTTTACGTACTCCTGTTTAAGCAATACAACATCGTGACTACCATGGCGTCTTCGAAGTCTGAGTGCTCGGATTCCGCTGTTTTGCCTGAAGAATCGAGTGAAGTGCAAGTTTTGGACTCAAATGAGCCGCTTGTTACGGCCTCTTTTTCAGTGCCCAGTAGTGCCCAAGTGATAGACTCAAGTGAGCCGCTTGTGGCTACCTCTACGCGAGTGCAAGTGTTGGACTCTGATGAGCCACTTGTGCTCCCGTCATTTTTTGTTGAAGAACCAGTTGCTGGTCCCAGCAACGTAGCTGGTCCTAGTGGGGTGGATTCTAGCATGGCAGCTAGTAGAATGGCTAGCCTTGTTATGCCAGCCTCTCCTACATTTACGATGGAGGAGGAGGAGGTGCCAGCCTCTCCTACATTTACGATGGATGAAGAGGAGGAGGTGGAGGTGCCAGCCCCAGTACCTACTGGGTCTTCCGGGAGACGACTTCATCTTTACTCGGAAGAAATAAAGTGAGTTAAAACTTTAATGTCTTTCTCAGTTGTATGTTATTTCAACTAGTCGACTGAACTGAACAAAAATATGAAAATAGGTCAAAATTTGTTACAAAACCGAATATGTCAACCCCGACTTCACGTGGTACTAGTATGCCCTACCCCTAGAGTGTTTATAAAAGCCCGGAGGCGCGGAGGGAGAGCAGCCCCAGCCCGCTGTAACAAACCACAGGTACTATGCGAACCGCAGCGGCCGAGGCTGGTCGCCACAGGCGACCAAAAAGCCGAAGCTGCGAAGGCGAGCATAAAGTACCTGTGGTTTGTTACGCAAGGGCTGAGGGGCTGCACTTTCCGCAGCGCCGGAGATGTTCAAAAACATTAGTTTGTCTTTTATCTATGTTATTTGGTTTTTAAAAGTGTTAAGAATTCTTTTACAATTTGTTTTCTTTTTGTTTTAGATCAATGTGGAATTGGCGGAAAATTTTTAGCCGACTGGGTACTAATGAACAATGCATCCAATTCGCTGAAGAAAGAGGGTTGATCCTAAGAGAAAAAAATTGTTCTTCTCATAGACGGCCAATGACCATTCAGACAGGTGTTGGGTCAGGACAATTTGGCAGATTTACCTGTCGGAAAGGCAACTGTCGAGGGAGGCCAGCTGTAAGCCAAACAGTCGGCACATGGTTCGAGGACGCTAAGTTGGCCATAACAACTATTTTTCAACTAATGTATGCATATAGCGAAGGCTTGTCATATGCTCAGGCACAAAAACAAGTGGAAGGAGAAAAAGAAACGGTTTTGTCTAATAAGACAATTGCAGACTGGTACAGTTACTGTAGAGAAGTGGTGATAATTTATGAATTAGAACACCAAACACACAATACAAAAATTGGTGGACCCAATAAAGTCGTACAAATTGATGAAAGTAAATTTGGAAGAAGAAAATATAACAGGGGGAGGCAAATCGAAGGTCACTGGGTGATTGGCATGATAGAGGACGGTAGTGACGACCTCCGGCTAGAAGTGTGTCCCGACAATCAGCGATCTGCTGAAATATTGGTGCCATTAATCCAAAAACATGTTCAGGAGGGCTCCATCATTCATACAGACTTTTGGAGAGCATATGACTGCCTTCCTGAGCATGGATATATTCATAGAAAAGTGAATCACAGTGATCCAATCAATAAATTTGTGGCACCAGATGGGACACACACCCAAAGAATAGAGAGCCAGTGGAGAGGAATAAAAAAAATGTTTCGACAACAACATCATACCAGTGATTTTACTGATTGGCTATGTGAATTTTCATGGAGAAGAAAAAATAGAATTTATCATAGGGATCCTTTTGAAGAACTAATCAAGGCTATTTTATATGTATATAGGTTATAAATTTTACCTCTATACATATAAAATAGCCTTGATTAGTAAAATAAAACACCAATTAATTACTTTAATCTTTATTATAACTTATAATAAAGATTTAAGTAATTAATTGGTGTTTTATTTTTATTTATTAAATTATACTAACAATAATTTTAAGCCTTTGTACTAACATTTTATTTTATTTATGAACTATATATACTTACTAACAATAATTTTAAGTCTTTGTACTAATAAATATGGCTGTAATGTAATTTACCTGTTTAAATAAAGAATCTTTCATTTAATTTTTATTTTATTTAGCTACCTTTTGTTAGTTAGGTACATTTTTTGTAAAAAAATTGTCAGATTAGGTAACTTTTTACATATAATTTACGTTAAACAAAGGTCAAAAACCCCTCCCCCTACCTTCAACCCTCCCCGGGTTGAAGGTAGGGGGAAGGGTCCCCATCCAAATTCTCTAAAATGCACAATAATGTAACTTTTATAAATTTATAACCTCAAAATGTCTTTATTGCATATCTCTGAAACTATGCGTTTCCGGGGGGGGGGTGGAAGTAGTTAGGGGGGCTTTGGGGGGCTCCCCCTCCCTCCCATCCTCCAAAACCCCAAATTTTTGTATCGCGTTTGTATCTTCTTTATTGCATATCTCTAAAACAATGCGTCTCCGAGGGGGGGGGGGTACATTATTTCTAATGTAATTCAGTCATGATAACAATTAATTATTACAGTACACATGCTTTGATGTATCAAAAACATTCATTGCCTTCGGTGCCACCAGTGGAGGGATCTACGTGTTCAACCGTAACCCATGTGAATTTATACAACTGATTCCAAATAAGGTAGATTTTTTAAATTAATTTTGTCTTTGTTCAATGATTGTTATTTTTTTCTGTTTCTTTGATATCTTTTTAGGTAGTATCATATATTCCACACCACACCATCTAAATCTTTTCATCATCATTATCAAGCTATTTAGGTCCCTGGCTGGCTGGGAACAGGCCTCCGCATGACTGCAGATGTACCTGGGACCAACGGCTTAACATGCCTTCCGAAGCACGGAGGAAGTTTTGGTCATACCACCAACAAATCACCCAATGACCAATCACTCCTAAAGTTGCTTAACTTCAACAGCAGCCGAACACAATGACCACTTGTGAAACTCCTCTCCGTATCTTTTATCATATATTTATATATTTTTTTTATTGAAGTGATATGATGTTACTTATGTCTTTAAGTTGAATCACTTTGAAATAAGATTAAGTATTATTAACAAATATTACAGGATGGAGCTATAACTCGTTTGGCAATATCATCAGATGACAAACACATAGGCTTTGCGAACGGTCGAGGTGTAGTCACAGTAACTGCTTGTAAACAGTCGCTGAGTGGAGGACATTCTACGGTGACTTCAAAAGATCACCAAAATAACGAAGTCACTGCTATGACATGGGGTGACACCAGTATGCTATTCACTGGTGATGATGTCGGCAGAATATCCGTGTTGCAGCTTCAAGGATTCATTGTAAGTTTGATTTTGAGCTTCTTCGTCAATCTTTTTAAGTTCCCAAGGTTGGGGCACAAGTTTCCCATAAAAAGATACTTACTGACACATACTTCATTAATATACATTATAACTTATTAAGTAAGGCTGAAGAAATTGTACATGTTAAATAGGTGCTAAGTTATGAGTTGCATAAACCCCCTGCTATAAAACAAGATACAGAAAAAATAAAAACAACACAAGTTCATAATCGGGCTGGAAACAGTTGAGAATAGTATTTTTATGCTTTTTTATTTTATTAATTAATTCTGCTAATTACTCTAGTATTTTAGGATTCACACAGGATAAAGATTACAAAACTAGTATATTTATATACTGATCATAAAACTATCAGATAGCAAGCAACCTTTTGCTATTTTATTGTGATGAAGATTATTTTTTCCCCCATTTCCTTTTTTTCTATTCAGAATTTAATTGCTATATTTTACAATGTAACTTTATTGATTAATTATCTTCACTTAAATTTATGAATTATCTTTCTACAGTGTCACATAGTAGAATTGTTTTATACTTTCTTTGTATTGAAATTTTTACTACCAAATTCTTAAATATAATTTAAAGTTTAAAAATCAGTTGTGATGATTTACACACCAGCTCATTTCCATAATATAATAGTTTAAAATACTAATCTTTATTATATATAACTTCATGGGATTGTTGGGTTACGTATATAGAGTATATAAAATAAAATATTGTTTTTTTGTTATATTTTAAGTCCTTTACTCCTTTTGGGTACTAATGAATTATTCTTTTTAAACACGCATACAGAGTAAGTAAAAAACAACTAATAAGCACTACTAAAAAAACGTAAAAACAGAAGACGGGCGGCCGGGAGCAATTACCGCTACCGCCGTTGAATTCAAAATTATAACATTCAATTTCACCCTATATATATATATATATATATATAATGTTATTTTTTGTTACCATACTAGCATGGCTGGTTGTTGATATTTCCACTGATGTATTTTATTATGTTATCACATAAACATAATCCCAAATACCTAATTAAGAATCAGACCTCACACTTTCCCTATTGGAGAAGATCCCTTAACTATTTAGTTATACCATACCGATAATAGTAGTAGTCGTAATTTTAAAAGATTTTCTTGATGCACATTGCCTTTTCAGATCATAAATAGTTGTTTTAAATCTGTTTACACGACATTTTCTACTTCCAGGCCAAAACTATGTTCCAGAGTTCGTCGCAAACTATAATGAATTTAGACTCACGTATATGCCAAATAGACGTAAAAGATTCCATGTTACTTGTGTCCACACTTACCAGAAGTTACATCTGTGACACTTCCCAGGAACAATACAGGCAAATAGGTCAGAAACTTAGAGATGGGGATTATGGAGCGTGTTTCTTTGACAGAGACAAATCTCTCGATAACTGTACCCATACACATCATAATATTACAGAGATTAAGAAGTATAATATAGTAGATAACGATACAGGATTTGTTGTAAATAAGAAACTAGCAAACACGGATATATATTGTGCCCGACCTTCGTCTAGATTGTGGGAAGCTAGCATAAACGGTACAGTAAAACGAACACATCAGTTTAAACATGCATTAGCCAAAAAACCCATGCCTCTACTATCCCTAGAATCGTATAACAATGAAAATATTTACCTGGAAAAACCTGCAGTCAATGGCGATGGTCAATCAATAAATTTTCCCAAAATTTACAATTTGAATGGTACAATATTCTCGTTTAGACGGAACGCTTTGTATTTTCTGAATCTCGACAGTGTCGATGAGTCCCTGTGGTACTCGTTCAATGATATTATAGATTGTAAAGTTTATCATGACTTGATATACATTTGGCTATCAGATGGTTCCTTTGTAAATTTTAGATATATGAAAATTGAAAAGTTTCTTATTAAGTGTTATGTAGATGCGAAATTTAGACTATGTGCTGAAATGTGTGCCTTGTTCAGAGATTTTCTCCTTTCGAAATGTTTGTCTAGTAAAATGCACATTATAGTTGGTTTGAGAGATAAATTGCAAGACAAGGAGTTGTTGGACAGTATAGGAGACGTTTTAAATAAATTTGATAGTTTAAAATCAAATGATGCTACGCAAATGAAATCGGGAATATTCGTTGTGGATAACACTTATCATACATCTTGTATGTTGGAAGAAGATTGCGATACGCAAGATCAGAATATAAACGAAGAAAATAAGTTCACAACGCTATCTCCTGAAGCGTTGCAAGCATTCAAAGATCTCAGTGTATCAGTGTCTGATAAAATAAGTACGAGCAAGAAAATTCTAAGAGAAAAATGGGAGGATTTCGAAGGAAAAATGAAAAATCTCACTGTAGAAAAGCCACAAGTTCAAGAAGTTAGTCTTCCAAAGCGACTACCTCCTGACAACGTGGAATACATGCCAGAACTGTTAGGCGAAGATATCATTTACAAAGAATCTAGTCAGAAAGCCATCGAAATAGACAATAATAGTTTAGCACAAGACAAAGTGTGCAAATTTCTCTATCAATACTTTAGGTTAAGTCTAGTCGGTAAGGAGTCGGAACGATCGAATTTAGTTTCCACTATCGAAAGCAACGCCTGTGATATTAGTCAGATCTACGAACTTATGTTACAATTAGAACAATACTGTTTGTCTGTTGGAGCCCAAGAGGAATCCAAGTATGTTCCGAATAATATTTTTCTAACGTACTTGAGTTGTTCAACTAGGAAAACTAAATTATTGGACGCTATCATAAGCGATGAAGTTCTATATAAATACTTTGTTGATTCATGCATATCTGTGAATGTTAAAACTCAGAGACTTTCGAATTTGGGGTGTGAATGTGGTTTTCCTTTGCCTTACACACGAACGCATCAGAATCCCGTATTTTGCGAACTAATAGACGAATTTATCGAGAGACAATGGTCTAGCAACTCGAGAGAACAGTGCTATGACATATGCAAAAGAATGCCGTATCTTTGGAGGAAGATATTGTATTTGAGAAGGAACGAGGACTTGCACAACGTGTTGAGAGTGCTTTTACAGATGTTAGATGAGAACTTACTGCATTCGTTTTTGCCACAATTCACGCTGGAAATTTGGGATGGGGCGATAAGGCTTTACGCTACCTTACACGCTAATATGTGTCTGAATTGCAATAAGAAGTTCCATCATGTTTCTGTTAAGGATATGCTGAGTTGGGACGATGTGGGAGCTCTCATTATTAAATCTGTGGGAGGAAAAAATGCTATGAAAGTTCTGGAGAAGCACGCAAGGTTGATAGATATTGGGGAGTTGACGATGAAGTTTTATCACACAGCGTTACTTGTGGCGATGTACGAGAAATATGATTCGACGATAACTTGCCAGTTGACGGATGCTTTGTACGGCGCGTACGCTTTCGAAGATTCCAGACTTGAGGTAATGTATTATTCGTTTTCTTTAACTATGTTCGGAATAAAAAGTCTAGACTATCTCAAATTTTATAAGTTTATGATAAATAATAAAAAAATAGTGACATTGAAAGCTTAATTGTTAGGAGATGTTGTGTTCAATGTAGCACAACTTCTACCAATGTTGCACTCACTGATGTCACTCGTTAGATATCAGTTCTCTTTTGGTACTCAATCTATATCGCGTAAACGAGTTTAGAAAAAGAAATCAAATTTTCTGTACCCGTTTAAATCTTTTACCGGTTGAATTTTTCAGTAATTAATTTCTTAAGACACCTATGAAAATGTAGCGGTTACCTGCATAAATGAGAAAATATAATTTAACACGACACCACTGCCATCTAGTGAAAAATAGCATAACTTATTGGTACAGTTACCTATGCTTACAAGCAGCTTGCTTTTGGTTTCTCGTCTTATTTACTTCACTTGATTTATTTAAGGCAACCATATAGAAAATCTCTTTTTATTTGCTCCGCGGCTGCACCCTATTTAATATTAAGTGCAAGTGGCAGATATCTGGTTGTAGTAGTGACTGGTGGGAGACCTAGGAAACTAACAGCATTATCATCATCATTAATGTCCCCACTACTGGGGCACAGGCCTTCCCTATGTATGGAATAGGGAGATTGTGTCTTGAACCGTCATGCGGGCTCAGTGAGGATCAGTGCGTTCTATCTACTGCAGATGCAGCCGGGACCAACGGCTTAACGTGCCTTCTGAAGTACGGAGGGAGGCGTTCGAGACAATATGTTTTAGGTCACCCATCCAATGACCGAACATTGCGAAAGTTGCTCAACTTCCGCGACCGCAGGTCAACGCGCTAACCACCTGCGCCATGGAACTTCTCCTTTCCGAAGAACTAACGTGTATACAAATAATAGACATTAATGGTAGCCATACACACTACGAGAAATCGTTATGATCAGACTGTACAGTTCGAAAGGAACAGTTTATCGTACGTGGCGTACGTATAGGAAACTGTGCAGTTTTATAACATACACGCTACGATTTATCGGTACCGTTCGGACTGTACAGTCTAATCGTAAAGATTTCTCGTAGTGTGTATGTCTACCATAAGACTTAGGAGGGTTGAGGGACGAGGAGCTCGATGGCGCAGGTGGTTAGCGCGTTCGGGATCGTTGAAGTTAAGCAACTTTTGCAGTGGTCGGTCATTGGATGGGTGACCAACAATCTTTTATCACGTGTTCCTCCGTGCCTCGGAAGGCACATTAGACCGTTGATCCCGGCTGCATCTGCAGGCGTTAGCACCCGCCAATCCGCACTGGACCCACGTGGTGGGTTATGGCCCAATCTCCCTATTCCATCCATAGGGAAGGCTTGTGCCCCAGCAGTGGGGACATTAATAGGCTGATGATGATGAAGATTTAGGGTTCCGCACGTTAGGGAGGTGCTCAAGGCAATCAATCTAGAGGTAATGTTGGCGTCTTACCATTAGCCGTGATTTCAGCTTATTTGCCACCTTTTTACATGAACAACAGTGGACTTGTGGACTATTATTTTATAAATTATTTTTCCTAATTAATTCTTAATGGTTTTTAACAAATTTATTGTATCTCATTAGCTTGTTAAATCATGCAGCCATCGATGTGGTGTGGGTACCCCCATTATCATCCATTTTTATTTTAAATTACCGCCACAATACTTTGTTCCGCAACTTTACCTGCTGATTAGTCCAGTCAAAATAGACATTTGAATGATTAATAATTCGCATAGAGCTGAAAATTGGCAGAAACGTTAAATACATCATTATCAATAAAATGTCAAAAATCGCCCTCGATCCTGCTTCTGCAAAAAAAAAATTCAAGGTCAAACGTACAAAATTATGTTTTATTCCATTTTTCTCGAAAACGGTTAGTTTCATCAGGAAAATAGGTCAGACAAAAGTTGTAGACTGTACTATTCTCTACAAAAATGGTTTTCATCTAAGGAAATAACGTAAAGAGTTGAAATTCTAAAAGGGTCTCATTAAATTATTGGTGTACCTGAAAACATAAGAACCGTATATAATAGAAAAAAGGGTTTATATCGGATATCACAAATGTTTATTGCGTTCCATGTGGTAAACAAGGTCTTACATTATTATAATGAATGAGTGAACAAACACATGAGTCCTGTTAGGACATAACAATGTTGAGCTTATAGCTAAAATTAAAATTATATTAACATTATGACAATCAACAATTATTAAATAAATATTATGAAGTAAATTTAAACAATATAGTAGGATATATAAATATGTTTCAGTTAGCATTTTAAATTTTATGAAAAATGGTCTACAGCTTACCATTGTATCTTTTTCAGATCTACCAATTATTACGGAGTACTTCTGGACATTTGAAGAACACAACATTACCAATTACTGTCGCTGCAAAAACAATCCACTGGGGTCTAACACCAATACTGGAGACTAGAACCAACACAAGTACCAACGAGGAGAACGAAAAACCATCAAATATCATAAAGGACATTTCATTTAAAGAAATCGTGGAAAACTTGAAGTGTATCTACAAATGTGATACTGATTGTACTCTCTGCGGGTTGCCATTGCAAAATGAGGTGCTGATCCAAGATGGCGGACTATGGGTTTTCAGATGTGGCCACATATTTCACGGTGCGTGCTTAGATTTGAATAAAGTTAAACTGTGTCCGTCTTGCCCTAAGTTCGTTTAATGTGTTCAAGTTTTTAACTCCCTATGGCATAAGCACCGCGATCTATAGGTACATATAATAAAATGGAAGAAAAGTCAGTCTGTACATTGAATATTTTTTTTAATAGAATACTTGGGGTGTGATCTACAATCGATACCGAAACGGGATAAAAACTGTATGTCCGGGATAAACTCAAAAAGTACTACAGGGATATACTTCAAATTTAGCACGAATATTATTAAGAAGTCGGGTCCACATATAGACATATTATCACGAAACTACCCCTAAGGGTATACGGGGGTTGGAAATTTGTATGAAATTTCTATGTTTTTGAAGTAAGAGACTTGAAATTTAACATGTATGTTCTATAGATGGTGTAAAGGTGTACTAATAATGTATCTTTAGAAATTAAACCCCTTTAGGGGTCAAAAAGTATGTGCAAATAATTAACCGCTAGTTAGAAGTATATGTAGGGCCAGCGACTTCGTATAAGTATAAAAAATATTTTCCCATGCAAAATTATACACCTTTTTCACCCCTTTAAACGATGGTTTCTGCAATAAAAATTATCATATGTTTTTTCCAGGGACTCCAACTATCTCTTTACCAAATTTCATCTTAATCAGTTCAGTGGTTTAAGCGTGAAGAGGTAAGAGACAGAAAGACGCACTTTCGCATTTATAATATTAGTATATATGTTGATTTTTGTCTGTCTTGTGTAAAAAGTACAATTATTTAAGTATTTTTAATGATTAATATGTAAAAACTCTTTTTTATCACTTCTAATGGTCAAACTCCATAGTTATTATACAATTGAACGTCATAAAATAGTGATACATATCATATCGCTATGCTCATGCTAGACGGGTAGGCTTTTCATGTTTTTATGTATTTATTTATGTTATAAATAGTTTTACACGGAATGAGTAAAAATCACGGATTAAATTTTTTGTAATCTATATAAAAATTCTCGTGTCGCGGTGTGCGTAATTGAACTACTCCGAAACGGCTCGACCGATTTTCGTGAAATTTTATATGCATATTCTAGGTCTGAGAATCGCACAACGTCTATTTTTCATCCCCCTAAATGTGAAACGGTGGTCCACACTTTTTTTTGCGCAATATTTTTTGTTTTTGTTTTTTTATGATACATCATACAAAAATACATACAACCCTAAATTTTCCTATCCATATTTTTATGGCGATACGGAGTTCGCTGGCTCAGCTTCTTTTTATATAAAACTCATATTTCATTAAAACTCTCGCCGATTCAAAAACGAAGCGAAAATGTCAATGTGAGGCATTCTCTCCCTCTCGCTCATTATTCCTAACGGGTTATGCGAGAGGGACAGAATGCCTTGTGTGGTCCTTTTTGATTTGTTTCTTTACTATTGTAAGTTGTGAGAACAAGAACAAACACCTAACTAATATTCAAATAATAAAACTTAAAAATCAATCTTATTATTGCTGTAGCTACGACAGCTAAGAACGAATTTTGAATTTGTATTTTTTTTTTTAATTTCTACATATTTATCCAAAAAATAGAGATATGCAAAATCAGTAACTTGAAATTGTTATTAGATATTTTTTTAATGTACCTCTATTTGTTATGTTTATAGTTATCCTAAGTTGTATTATTTATATGAATGAACTTAACTTTCTAGATCATGTTCAAAATCTTACTTCAGGACAAAGAAATCGAGTACACGTTATTTTTATTTAATAGTGATAAAATAGATTTGAATGTGTAAATTATAAAGTTTACCTTGAACAACTAGGTCTATATTTTATTTTTAACACTGAAATTAGCAATAATATGTGTTTGCTGTTCTATTGTTTCACCGTATATAATTTTTATTCCATTTACATTACGAAACCCGTAAAATTTTAATTACTAATGTTAATATAATAGCGCAATGCAACTTAGAGCGGACGCGTGCTGAGAGACATTTGAGAAATAGGATTTGAAAAGACTATTGCTGTCACGTATTGGGAAATGCCGTGTGATTGGGACAAAAGTAGTTAACGCTGAAAATTGCATATAAAAATTGCAAAGTAGGGAGTTTTACTCTCGACAATATCTTCCCCGAAAATTAGATATATGTAAAAGAAATTTTACACAAATAATAATGAGTTGTACTATGCCTCTGTTTTTTTTTGTAAATGCTTATTAAATCTTCATACTAGACGTTTTAGTGGTGATAAAAAATTGTCTATTTTGTCCTTTTTCGAGGGCTCCTACCTTGAAGCTTCTTTGAAACACAAGTTATCGAAAAAAGGAAAACAGGAGCATAGAATGAGTAAAATTATATTTTATGTATGAAAATCAATTCTTTAGTGATAAAAATCAGAAAGGAATAAGTCTAGAACGTTTGTATGGAGGAAACATTGCGCGCCTCTCCTCTTAATTCTGTACCTATTAAAATACAGACTCAGTATTATAGAAAACATAATTTTTCCGTCAAAGAAATATATTTTATAATCATTGTATACGTCTCAAGTGCATAATAGTGTGTAATGTTAGTTTTATTTATTTAATGCATTGCTAAAGGATTATTATATAAAAATAATAGCTTTCTGCGCACTATTACTATATACAAACTTTATAACGCTTTAAATGGGATACTAAGATTTTTTCTTCACGTAACAAAATATATAAATAATAAAAACAATTCAAAGCATTTTAAATCATTAATATACTCATGAACACTTTGGCGTTCAATTTAATTACAAAGTTTATATATAGTTGTTTAATAAAAACAATTATGATATTTTATATTTTTAAACTGCATGCGTTCTATACGTTTATATTGTATTAAACTGCCCATGTAACAAGTTATAACCTGCTAACCTGTGAGCATGAGCTCCAAAAATCAAATCAGTACTTTATTAAAAGATCTTTAGAAATTTTTATATCGAAATCATTTTAACAGCTCTTTTGCGCTCGATTTTCATCCTTAGAGATTAGGTGCGGGTTATTGTGGTTAAACTTATATTTTTATGATCTTTAATCGAAATGGGGAAGAAAAATGACAATTTATCCCGTGGTAACTGTGTAGTTCACACAGTTCGGCCTCCTAGTAGATGTAAACGCGATATTGCTTCCTTAGGCGGAACCAAATGACAGTGTGACGTCATATTCTATAGCAATTTCAAAGCAATGTTAGGCGGTTGAGGAGCTCGATGGCGCAGGTGGTTAGCGTGTTCGGTTGCGATTGTTGAAGTTAAGCAACTTTTGCAGTGGTCGGTCATTGGATGGGTGAGCAAAAATCTTCTATCTCGAGTTCATCCGAATGTGTTTCGGAAGGCACGTTAAGCCGTTGGTCCCGGCTGCATTCTGTAGTCGTTAGCACTCGCCAATTCTGGGCCCGCGTGGTGGGTCATGGCCTAATCTCCCTATTCCATCCATAGGGAATGCCTGTGCCCCAGCAGTAGGGACATTAATAGGCTGATGATGATGATGATGTTAGGTGGTTGACCCGCTGCAGAACACCACGCGTCCTGCCCACCCTCTCAGAAGGCAATGTCTTTAAAACGTGTAGTACGTGACTGACTTGGTTTCCAGATGTGAGGAGGAAGGGAATTCAATGTATTCCTGAAAGTAACTCAAATTATAAATATTTTTTATATCGGTTATCTCGTAATACGTACTGAAATTTAGACACGGGATAAATTGTCATTTTTCTGGTGTGGTGTGGTTAATATAGTGTGAACTGTCATATAATTTCGAATCCCTTCCCGCCACGTTATCATGTAGACAATATTACCGTGTTAATCGGATGAGAAATGTCGGAGTGATCTGTGTACATACATAAAATAAACATACCGACTTAATTAAGAACCCCCTCCTTTTGAAGTCGCACAAAAAGTTGCACTCAGAGTGTAGGTTAAGGCCTTGAAGTGACAGGCTTGTCAAGAACGTCGAAAGCGCCATCTGTAATGGGCTTTACGTTTTATTCCCCATTTACCCCAATCCTGATCTCAAGTGTAAGTCTTGTCCCGGGGGTCAAACGACTAACAGGATTGCTATCGCTATCGCTTACGATTTCCTATTGTTATCCCTGACCGCCGAAGGTTTTCAAATGCCTCGCGCTATTTTGTTTTTCTTTTGTATTGGTAATAACAATACTAAGAAAATGAGCGCGAGGTATTCGAAAACCTGAGGCGGTCAGATAACAAAACTAAATCCTAAACAATAACGATTGCCATAGCAATCCCGTTAGGCAATTGGCCCCCAGTCCTGGTGAAGTTTATTAACGTTATTCAGTCTCAGCTTTTAATAATCTAATACAAATTAACTAACTACTGGCAATAAGGTAGAAAACTCGCTAGCAGGTAAAATCAGTCGTAATTAACAAAGATTTGATTTCTTCAACGCATAAAGAGACAGTTCTATAAGACTCAATTGAGATGCTTGTTTACATAATGTTGTTTATAAAAACCTATAGACACATTTTTTTCGTTTTTTTATCAACACCTAAAATAAATAATAATGAAAAATGAATCTAAAATGGCGTGTTGAAGAAGATAGAGTGAAAATTCCTTGCATCACTATTTTAAATGATGAGTTATTAAGATAACTCCATCAACGAATAAGAAATGATATACAAAGCATTACTACTAACAAAGGTCGCTAAAACATGCTTCCAAACTCGTACAACCAACTTCAATACTAACGCGACACGCACGCAGCCAAAACGAAATATTTGACCAATCAAATATCTGCAAATGCATTCGGTTATCCATTCATTGGGTAAAATAATGGTAAGCGGAATTTTTAACCAATCCCATGATCGGCATGTTGATCGCAGTTCTTTCGCCCCGCCCACTTGATCGCAATTTTTTCGCCACGCCCACTCGATCGCAGTCTGCATGGAACCACTTTTTAGCGCAGTTCGTATTCCATATTATTTCTAATTCGTTGAAATTGAAATAATTAAATGCACTTACTTCACAATACAGCTATTAGCTTAGCAAAATTTGTTTTGTTATTTAACAAAGAGTGTTAATTATCTACGTATATTTTAGTGATATTAGTGAGAATCGTGTTTGAATGTTGATATTATATTTAATTATATTTATGTTAATAATTAAGCTATAGAATTACATTTTAGTAGTGTTTACCAGAAAAATAAAACACCTCGCCATATTGCGGAGAAATATGGAACTAATTTTCAATAGAACTTTGTTATTGCGATGTACTGCAAAGTGAGTGGGGCGCACCGAATCTTGGAATTTTATTTCTCTGGTAAGGCTTAAATTACTGAGAAGGTATACCAAAAAATCTATTTAGATAGCTATTTAACAATATTGAAAAATGTACTTAAAACTGTTTTTTTACTAACGAATACTATTATATTGGAACATGTTGTGGATTTACTCCGCTTCTAGCTGGTATATAAATATTATTAATTACCATTATATCGAAGTAAGTTATAACTGCATAACTGTCGCACGTCCGTACTCAAAGAGACACCAATTAACTTTGAAGTATGATTCAAGATAAACAGTGCTCTTTCGTAAGATGTATTATATTAAATAAAACAAGTTTCAGCGGGTTAAATGCACTGATTTTATTTATTTATTTATTTTGTTTCCATGATTTAACATAAGAAGGAGATAGAAAGCCTCTCTGAGTTTGTTTCGCCAGTTCTTCTAAGAAAGGTCTCCCAATTTTGGAACCGGTGGTAATTTACGGTATTTAGGGCCAAATAAATAAACTCAAAAATATAAAAAAGAATTGAAAAAAGTACTTCGTTAATTAAATTAGTTATTAATATACATAAAATAGTTAGGTAATAAAATTCATACATAGACAATGAAGTTTTAAAAATATTCTAATGAAATATCCGAACGCTCAATAAAAGTCTTTCGAAAATAACTTGACAAAATAAATAAAAAATAATTATTCCGACGACGCATTCCTGCAAAAGATGCAAAACGTCAATAAATAAATAAAATCAGTACATCTTACCCTTGTTTTATGTGCGTGGAAACCTAAGAAACAAATATGTATTATGTTACATTAAATTTATTTGATGTCTATGAGTAATTACGAAAAATGAAGACGCTATTATAGTAACGTATGTCCGCCATTTAAGTAGCGAATAACAAAATGGCGATTTGTGTCATATATAAAGAAGCATTGTAAATAATGTACAAATTGAAAATATTTTTGTAAACGCAAATAACTATTTAGCCATATCATATCTTTGTATACTTATTATATACTGTGTAACTTTTACCAAACTTATAGATTATCTGTGTTTTTATTAAAGGAAATGCGATATGAGATTTGTGTACAGTGCGACTAACATCTTGTGGTGCGTGGCCGAAATAAGAACTAATTTTAGAAAGGCATAAAGAAGCCTTTTAACCCTAGAAAAAGGTGTAAATAAAGCTTCTATTACGTACTCTTTCCGAGTTGCTGTCCCCTTTAGTGAGGAGATTTTAACTTTAGTAGGGAGATTTTACCTTTAATGAGGAGATTTTACCTTTAGTGGGGAGATTTTACCTTTAGTGGAGAGATTTTACGTACTTAGTAAACCTCATTTCACCACTTGTTCACCAGCAGCGCCCTCCTGTCAATGTCATATAGACGCCACAAGATCTAGATCGCACTGTAACATGGAATTCGCGGCTGCCATTTTTTTTCGTGTAGTTGCCATAGATAAAAATCTATTAAATGTTTAATATCATTTAAAAACTTAGTAGAAAATATACATGTATAAATTAGTTATATTTATGTGCAGTAAATTATATGTTTATTTAAACGTAGCGTTAATTTGTTAAATATATTTTTGCTACTCTAAAATCATGCAGATTTTCCTATAATTTTTACTATTAGAACCATTACTTATGTGTAAATAACATCCAAAATTGACAACTGATATCTTTAATTAATTTTAAAAGCTTATCCTATTTGTACTTACACTATCTAAAAAACAATTGAAGAAAGTCATTTGAGAATGCCTTTGTAATTTATTGTAATTGTTTCCTGCATAACTTAATTGTGTGTATAGTGGTAGCTTACAAAAAAGATGGCGACGTAAAGTTATACCGCCTTATCATTTACTGAAAAAAATAAATGCTTTATTCTCGATTAAAAGACTTGTTTCAGTTGATATCAAACCACATGAAAGAGATAATAAGATCCATTACCTTATATATCGGCATGTTTTTTTTTGATAATTAGTTATAAGGGAATCCCTCATAAAGCTGAAATATTTTCAGTATAAAATGAATCCTATGTCTCATCCTCATCCAGGTCATCCGTACCAAATCTCATCGAATTTCCGTTTAGTAGTTTTTGCGTGATTGAGAAACAAATTAATAATTTATTTAAATTGTGCTGTACAATAAAGTTATAATCCATTCATTCAAACATACAATCACACACAATTTCACATTTATAATTTTAGTAGGATTGGTATATGTATTCTATCCGTTACCCTAGTACTCCGTAACAACAGCCTTTTACAGTGCTTACTTTGGGGCTAGGCTAATTGGCGTGTGTTTAAAGAAAATGTTATGCGACGTAGTATATACTTATTTAGCATCACAGAACACAGAATGTGGTTGGAATGGTGATCCTAGACCGTTTGTACGGGTAGGTGCGATGTCGCCAGCTCGCCACCACTACACTTCCACCTAAAAGATAGTAGCCAATCAAAGGACGCGACATCAAACGATCGAACCAATCAGTGCTCACACCCGAGAACAACGACGCAATCAAAACCAAGTTTTGGTCAAGTTAGTAGCATTTGCTCACACATAACTATGGCGCGCCTGCATCGCCCACAAGCCGCTTCTAACCTCTCTGTGTTCTGTGTAGCATTAAATATACTTCTTTAAAGGGTCTAAAGTTTTGTGGGATACAGACCTTTATCATAATGAGTGTAAGGTCGAATTGAACTTGATGTTTATAAGCAGGCAAACTAAACTTCACGCTCTTAGTAATAAGGACCTTGTGTCATCCAAAGAGCATTTCCTCGTTATTTTCATCAGCATTTAGCTCCTATTCGAGCGGGAACTTTGCTATATTCTACATGTCTTTTTTGAATTCTTTCAATGACATCCATAAGGTAGACAATAATTTGTACCTAAAGTGAGCACAAGATAAGGTTTAACTACTATTCTCAAGTGAAATTCTTTGCCCGCGCACGTGGTCCCCTCCCTACAATCTGGGATCCTTTAAGAGTCGTGAAGAAGCATTTCTGCAGGCCGGCAACTACTACTACTACATCAGGTGGGGTAGAGTCATTTGCCTACCTTGCTATAAACAAAAGGTTTATGCGAAAATGATGGTGCTAAATTCCAAAATAATATCTCTGCCGGCATTTTTTCAGTAGCCAGTTGAAGATTATATATACAATACCTGGACGGCAATTTAGTTCCGATTTCTGCCACGCGTTTATATCCGGCGTGCATTTTAGTACTATAATGTACTGGGTTTTTGGTGTTGCCATACAAAATCAAACAAACAGAATATTTTTATATGTATTTTTAATATACTTTTGGGTTTTGGCACAATTTTTAAATAATGTGACCTGTTTTACACTAGGTATTAAAAACCTAAATCTATCTACAATACAACATTTGATTGGGAACCGAATGCTAAGTTATACGGATGTAATCTTCAAGTCATACGATTGTTAACCCAAAAAAACATAACAAGTTCACATTTTTAAGTACATAAGTGATATCTTCTAAGTACTTACTTACACCCAGCAAAAAGTAAGTTATGGCAAGTTTCTTCGAAAAAATCATACTTAAATAAATTAGAACAGTGTACAGGAAAAAAATAATATAATATTTATAAGTTGTTGATCGAGATCTATATAACATAATGTACTGAGAACTATTAACTTTGTGTCGATCATATCATTAAATAACCACAACTAACTTTTACACCAAAAATATCGCATATTTACAGGAAAATTCAACATAAAAAATAAATAATTTAACGTCACTGTCTAAATTCTTACACATTTACTAAGAAATACGCGCTACTTAATGACAATAATTAATATTATATTATAGATTTTTTAATTACTTTTTTCACGTGCACATAATATTTTACTTATTAACACTACGCATCATTTTATTACTGGCAATACAATCTTAAAACATGAGAAAAGAGAACCGAGAATCGGAAACAAGGGGTTTAATCAATAATGATTAGAAAAATAAATAACAAAACCATTATAAAAGTAATTAAAAAGAAAATGGCATTTAACGACTTCAAACTCTAGTGGATTTTACAATGAACTTTACAAGTTTCGCTATGATAATAGTAGATATCATTACACTTATACATACTACAGCTTACAATCTATAAATCTACCATAATAAATTGCACGATTTCATAAAGCGAATATTAATCTTTTATAAGTTTAGTTTGCGACAAGAATAGTTTTGTAGACAGTGTTGGCGCCATTGTAACCAGAATTGTATTTATGAAACTAAACTGTTACATAAGTCTGTTACATTTGCGCCCCATTTGCTTTTTACCCCACATAAATTTCGGTGGGTATATAATCAAGTATCAATGAATCTCTTTATAAAAATAAAAGAATTGACAATATATGAATTGACCAAATTTTTTACCATCGGTAGTTTAAAAAATGCCTTTTTGTACTGGCATATGGCAAGTAGATAGCGATTCTGGGCATACGTTTTTGTAAGTAGGTACTAACTACTCGTAGTAATTAGTTTTTTTTAAAATTATATTTGGAGAAATAAGCATTTGACATATATTTATGAATACAACTGTGTAAAGAATATGGCATCCCAGAAGTGCTGCCAACATTTTTATTTTTTTTAAGAGATATAACAGAAAAGTAAATTTCAGTATTGCCTTTAAAAGTTCACAGGTCTACTATGTTCATAAAATTTTTACTTTATCTTCAAAAAATTGGGTGCGAAATCAACTGTAGTGTCAAATATTCTAGTGTCTTTCTGTACATCCAGTACATACATCACCAAATTTCTACTACTCATTCATTCGAACATTGATGGTTTTAACTTACTCCGAAACAGATCTATAACTATGAGTATTATTTTTCCATTAAAATCATTATGCATTAATACATCTCACTGGATTTCAAGAGTTCGTGTTCAAAACACTTCATATATATAATATAATATAAAAAAGAAAATTTTCAAGCCTTCCGCTTCGATTTTTTTGGTTTGATACATATTAAAAATTGCTTAGTACCTACCACAACATCTAAACTGTTACAACGATTAGTTTTATATCTCTTGCTAATTATTATATTTATACATGGCCACACAATATTCATGATCATTTATCAACCATTAACTGACCTTACTCTAAAACTAAGTGCCCTATATTAAGTCAAATGTAATGACGCACAGATCTATCTACAATGGGAATTGTACTTATTTACAGAGTCTCTAAAGTCCATAAATTGGGTTAACTAACTTTTAAATATTCCATTAGACAACTATTTACACAGTTTTCGCCCTAATTGTTGGTTAAATTATATAAATTATTGACACTTACAATGTCCACATGTGATATTTGAAGTAACTAAACAAATCGTGTATTAATAAAAGATAATCAGTTAATTATGTACAGATTTCTTAATAATAAGACAGATATGAACCTTTTTTTCTATTTAAACGAAATAATTATATATATTCCGTTGTAGTTTCTACTCGTTATTTATTGCAACAATAAGGATGTTTTTATTGCTGTTAATATGAATTTTATTTAGAATTTCTCCTTTTTTTAAGTAGTAATGTAGTATTTACTTACATTATTCATAATTGAAAAGCCATAGCTTTGGATCTTCTTTTTACTTGCATTATTTTACCTGTTTCTGTTTTAATGTAAAAAAGACTAATAAATTTAAATCAGTGTTACAAATAAGTTACTGCCTATTTGTTATTCCTAATACAATTTACACAATAATTTCACTAGAATTTGGCGTTTACACCACCGTAACAATAGTACTCAAATAGCATACCTACAGATGATAAAACTGCCCAGCCTTAAGATTTTCTTAATAATTATCACTAATGGAATAATCTCATAATACACAATGCTGGTATTACAAATGAGAGATCCAATTTCGACACTGGCATTGAAATTATACAAAAAACACATTATTAGGTACACCAAAATTATCTCCGCCATTTTTAAATAGTGACAGATCTAATATTTACTACCTTTACACATTAATAACCTTAACATGTGGCTTTGTTTGATATGACTGTTCGCACAGTTAGGATAACGTTTAAACAACTTTTATACAAATGACACGTTACAAATTCGTTACAACGAAATCTCCCGCTTTAATATGACATGTTACAAAAACGTCACAACATAAACTCTCGTCACTGAAAATGTCTAGTTACGTAACAAATCTTCATCACATTCTTGAACATATTAACCATTGGCATGTATCCCAAATTAACGGCATGTCGTATTCTCATATCGTATTGGTAAAGTATGTTTTCAAAGTGCCGGTTATCTCGTTTCCATCAGATATTGATGATGCCGTTGACGCAGTGACGTCAGAAACCATGAATTTCTAAGTTCTCACAGTGTCGGTACCTATTTCTTAATCACGTATTGATGTAGTCGATGAAATGATTTTAGAAATCATGAATTTGCGTATCTTATCCAGGTACCAGATCTTACATGCTGTCTACGAAATCTCGTCAGAAATCATGAGTTTACGTAGCTATATCTAGGTTCCAGAGCTGGTCTGTCGTTTATTGGTGCTGTCCTCAAAATGACACCAGAAATCATTAATTTTCGTAGTTATTTCCAGGCTTCAGAACTTGGAAATCATGAGTTTACGTAGCTGAGTCCGAGAATTTTCCAGAGCTTACCAGGGTTGGTGTGAAGGGGGTAGGGATAGGGGCGCGGCGTGCGGGTACGGCCAGCCGCGCGCCGACCCTCAATCGTCCTCCCGCGGTGACAGCGGCGGAGAGAATGAGGGGTTCATGTAACCGCCGTTAGGTGGGGGGGAAGAGTTCGACGGCCCCGGCGACGAGAGAGAGGGAAGAAAGCCCAGCTCGCTCCCCCCGTCCCGGCACCAGAGCTGCCGCATCTCCTGTCTACGCGAGCGCATCAGGTTCTTGTACTCCGATATCCGCATCTTTTTGCCGTCTACTATGCAAGTCCTTTTAGGTCGAGGTCGGTACCTGGAAAAGGTGAAATCCTATATTAGCAAGTTTATTTATGAGAATTTATGTAGAATTCAAATTTACAAAAGAGTAGAGATCAGTTGTAAATAATCGCAATCTTAGCATCGCAACTTTATGTGAGGTCATGGTACAATGCAATTTAGTGTTTGTTTACCACATTTCGAGAAATATAGTTGTACCTACCACTTCTATGATCTACCTATCACCTACTGTAGGTATATTCTGTATCAACTTGTAAACTAAAAACAATGTAATTCAAATAAAATTATTTCTTATCCATCTGTCTGATTAAATTGAGTAATTACTGACTGCTGATAAGATAAACTATAGGAATAATTTATAAATGACAAGGACAAAAAAGCCCTTGCCGAGTTTCTTGCCGATTCTTCTCAGTACAAGGTCTCCCACTGTAGATTTGCGAACACATGGCGTAGCTTTTCCACACTCACAAGTGCTTGTAACAGCCTAGACTGAATAAATGATTTTGGAATGCATTTATTTTAAAAATCTCCAAACGCTCCTCTTAATAAGTCACTTACCTATAATCAGGGTGTTTCTCCATATGCAATTTGGAGAGCCTCGATTGTTCCTCGTAATACGGTTGTTTCTCAGCATTGGACATAGCCTTCCACCTCGCTCCCAGGATCTTGGATATGTTGGAGTTGTGCATGTCGGGACAGGCCTTCAGGATCTTCCTGCGCTCGTCTTTGGCCCACACCATGAACGCGTTCATGGGTCTTTTTATGTGAGGCTTCCCGGCGTCGTCACGGCGTGGTTGGCGCACCAGCTTGGCTTTGTCTACTTCCTCTTGGGGCGACTGACTCCATGATGACGCTGGAGAGAGAACGATATTTCAAAATTAAGATAGAGGAAGTGAAACTTTGAAACTCAGAAAAGATACGTCCATGATTTCACACGTGCAACGATGGTTTTAAATGGGTAAATTTAGCGTTACAGCATGAGTGTATTAGGTTCTGCTATTGCAAATACAGTGCTCGATACTTGGAAATTAGTTGAAGTTTCTCAGTTTTTCCGTTATCTACATATACTTAGGCAGGAATAATCGCGTCATTGACAGTGCAAATTATCGATTCTGAGATTTAAATACTTACTTGGCGTGTGCCAAATAAAAACTATACACTTCAAAACATAAATTGAAATTTAAATATACTATCACCATATCCGTTCCTAAAGTTATAAAAACTTATAATAAACCCATCAGTAAGTAGGTATTATGTATTTATTTATACATTCAAAAGAATAGTTACTGTAAAATCGGTAGTTCAGGCCCACGACGAACGGTGTTATATATATATAGTAAATTATTTTTACGGAATTCCTGGCAGTAAAACAAACGTCACGAGAGATTACCGTTCGTATCGAGCAAATCCCATATTAGTTAAAACTTAACTTGGGTATTATTAAGATGTCTATTTAAAGAATTGAATCAGAAGAAAATCATAATAATAAATTGTGAGGCGGCGGCGGCAGAGAAACAAAATTATATCATATATATCATATCATAATTATCATTGCTACTTAACTTTAAAACAACTTAGTTAAATCTAGGTTGGTACTATTGTAGACTTGACTTGTGCAGATAAATTGCACTGTCAATAATGCAATTTTTAATGCCTATATGTAGATAATGAAGAATAGATATGATGAAATATGTAAACTGAGAAATTTCAACTAATTTCCAAGTATCAAGCATTGTTTTTGCGATAGCAGAACCTAATACAAATCATGGACGTATCTTTTCTGAGATTCAATTAATAAATATTGTTTATTAGAAGATTTCTTTATATTATATATTTTAGATATATAGGTATATTCCTAGCACACCTTTACAGAAACCTATTTGATTTTCGATTTCGCAAAGACAAGTTTAACATTATCATCATTAGCCTAATAATGTCCCCACTGCTGGGGCACAGGCCCTCGCTATGGATGGAATAGAAAGATTACGCCATGACCCACCACGCGGGCCCAGTGTGGATTGGCGGGTGCTAACGACTGCAGATGCAGCTGGGACAAACGGCTTAACGTGCCTTCCGAAGCACGGAGGAACTCTAGATAGACGATTTTTGGTCACCTATCGACCGACCACGAAAGTTGCTTAACTTCAACGATTGCAGCCGAATGCGCTAACCGCCTGCGCCATCGAGTTCCTCAAAAGTTTAACGGGGGCTCTTAAAGTCGACCAATTTTTAAGTTTTTTTTATTTAACATAGTAACATTATTTGCAATAATAAATAAAATAAATAAATATTTCCGACACTCACACCAATTAGCCTAGCCCCAAAGTAAGCACTATAAGGCTTGTGTTATGGGATGCTAGGGTAACGGATAGAATACATATACTGTACATATATAAGTATATTTATATAAATACATATTAAACATCCATGACTGGAGTACAAATGCTCGTATTCATCACACAAACATCTGCCCCCACCGGGATTCGAACCCGGGACCTCTCGAGTTGGCGACAGCCATGAAACCCGGCGTACAAACCACTCGGCCACGGAGGTCGTCAAACAATAAAATAGAATCAAGCAATAAAAATAGAATGTGACATTACGGGTCGTGACGTAAACAACACAGCAAAAACATTTACAATTCAACCAAAACTCACAAATAGTGCGATTTACTGAATCAACTGGACAATAACTGATATAACAAAAACATTTACCATTCAACTGAAAGTCTCAAATAGTGTGATTTACTGGATACATCCATACCAATGATATTAATCAGTTATTTTCGGGTCAACTAACCACGCGAGCAATGAGGATCTCTCTGTGTAAACTAATTAATCTGCTATAATAGTGTCTTTTATAATAATAAAGTTAAACTAAATCCAACGTTAGTGCGTCCAGCGAATAGCTAAGCCGTCATTACAACGCATTTGCACCAATCAAACGAGACCAGTGTTATGCAGTAGGTACCCCATACTAAAAGTGACTTTTGCTTTATAGTGATGTGACTGTGTGAACTGATATATCAGCCAGCGGAGTTGTTTCAGAAAACCAGAAAATTAATATTCATATCATATAAAATATCATATTTTAATCCGTGTAAGTACCTACTTCTATAAAGTTAGGAAAGTTATTAACGTTGCCTACATAAGGTAAGCAACGTTAATAATGAAAAAGAGAAGTTTTGATCACCATTGGAAAAAAGTAACTAGTGTATTTTGGTTCCATACAAATTTTCAAGACCCATTCTAGCTCTTTAGTAACTTAAACTTTCATGGTCACTAACATTATAGCTATTAATGGGAATGTACATTTTTTTTATTATGAGTCTCCGATATTTCGTCACTGTTGCAAGCGCCATGATCACGGACTAACTCAGTTACTGCGTGATTAGTAATCAGTAACTTTCTTAAATTCTTTCCTTCTCTCTCTCTCTCTCTCTCTCTGAGTAAAAACGAACTCTAAAGTTATTCGATTTATTGACCTGCAAGTCATGTGTCACGAACTAGACTGAATTCCAAAACTGTCTTACCTGTTTTATGATTCCAGCTTGATACTGGAGTTTCATTTACGCTCATAGTCCACCAACACGTAGGATTATAAAAACAGTAGACAGATAAATATTGCTACATATCAATAAAAATAAAGTAATCGTTTTCTGTTTCATAAGAATGTTCCACAATGTACGCAATAGCCGCAAACGACTCTCAAAAGGAGACCGCTAATCGTTATCGATATTTTAAATCTCGCCGAAAAAGAGTGCGATTTATAGCCGCTCACGCAGATAAACGATCTAGAGAGAGACGCATCACTAAGAGGCGGGTAAATATGTGGGTCACTTTCGTATCCGCTAACATTTCGCGTGACGGACGGATTCACCAACAAGTGGCTGGACAATTAATATGCTAACGTGTAGGTACGGAAGCATCCACCACTCAAAGCCACGCATTCCGCGAATTAATTTGACACGCTGTTAGATAATTTATAACATCCCATGCGGTGATACGACGTTACACGATCGAGAAGTACCGACGCGTGCTACGAGTTATAGGTGAGGTGGACAATCCTGATGAAAATGCCAACAGTTAGTACTCGCAACTTATATGCTCCAGATAAACAATAAATTTTGGTTTTGTTAAACCAAACTTGACTTGTTAGACTTGAAAGACTTGTTAGTCTTGAATAGACAAAGCTAGCAGTCAAAAATTTGTGAAACTGAATGTAAATAAAAATGTTTATGATGTTTATACATAAAGAAATGTTTTCTAGAAAATATTACAGCTCGGTTCAGGTTTTAGACGGGATTCGTACCAGCATCTTCTGCTATCTGGGAAGATGCACTAACCATTTATGCTACCGAGACCTTAATGGCCATGTCGAATTTTCTATATTATTTCTTAAATAATGTTGTCAAGCAAGATGTGGTCAGTACAACGGAAGTAGATACCATAGAATGCCTCCTAGATAAATAGTGTCCCTCACGTTTGCCTACCCAGATCCCATTCCTCTGTGAAGCTCTGTATGACTGAGGAGTTCAGCTAGCAATAAGTACTTCAGTTCCACCATCATTGTCTATCAGGACGTTGCTGTTCACTTATCCAAGTGAAGCGATTAATTTCTATAATTACTATTATAATGTATATTCTGGTAAGATACAACTTTGACATATTCAACAGCAACTTAAAAAGGCTTGATTCCACCGTCGTTCCTCACAAAATATTCCTAAAAGAAAATAACCTCTGCGTTTAAATACTTTTGGCCGCGCCTGTATCAACGTAGAGCGGAAGTTTGCGTCTCGAACGCCATCTATTTCGCATCTCTCGTTCTCTTGTTTTAAAGGAAACGCAGCGACACATCGCGATTTTGTAACCATTTCGGTTTGGGAGTACGCCAAGTATTCGATGACTTTTAGTTTGTGCGTGTATATAGGTGCCTACTTATGGATAGCCTACACACAACCATCGGCTATTAATGACTTTTTACGACATACGGATGGAATGCCTTTGCAGTTTCGGATGCCCTTGTATCACGAGTTAGGCATTATTTTCTTAGTAAATACCCCTTTTACCAAGAAAATAATGCCTAACTCGTGATGAGTCGTATAAAAAAGGACCCTAAAATGTTGCATTTTGGGGGGGTCTTGTAAAATGTCAAAACCAAAATAAAAACAACCTCTGAATGTGCTGAGGTCAATGCCAAAGACTTATATCTTTATTAAAAAGGATTCCCATGAAGAGTAAACAGCTTGAATCTGACTTAGGGCTGTAGTTTAGGGGGTCATGGTGAGTCTAGTATGTTGAACAAATCAGCCTTTTAAGTAAGAAGAAATTCATGCGCATCTCAAACAATATCTGTCTTATAAAATAATGAAAAATTGGTAAAAAAATCTAATCAATTAAAATACTGAAACTATGTAATATGATTTCCCGTCTTCGATATTCTTACCTAGTTTGCAGTAACTTACTGACTATATTTTAACAACTCTTCTCTAATACCAGAAGATGATAAAATTATAAAGAGCCAATCATTTTAATCTTTATCCGAGAAAAAGCTATTCTCTGCGAAGTAGCTAGGCTTGTTAAAAATATATCGATGTATCGATATATCGATATTTATTGTTCGATATATCGATATTTTTGCCGATATATTTAGATTCGATATATCGATACAAAATAACCAATATCGAAATTCGTATCAAAAACGATATTTTTTTAATTATTAGCGGCATATAACGATCTAAATAAATTCGTATTTGGAAAAATCCTAACTGGATCTCAGATTAATGATATTCAACATATCTATGATCTTTGCTGTATTTAGTATTGTCTATTATTTGTAAATCTGTTTCGCTGGTGAATTGATTGTGCTGATTTCCATTATATTCTGTGGAAGTGTGTGACTGTCTAGTCTTGTTTACGAAAGATGGCACCTGAGAGGCCCTGCAATCATTTTCATCATTCGAAAATAGGGTCTATTTTTAGAGAGATAATTTCCTTCCACTATTATTCCGCGTGTCATATTTCGTGAGATACTGTACTGTCATGTAGTGTAGCGGCAATTTGGTACTTTGATAATTCTTTCTCTAATTATAATTTGTATTGAACTATTATTACTTTGCTAGGCTGACCTAAATATATTTTTGCGAAAATTGGTCCGATATGTCAATATATCGATGTTTTTTTCGCGATATATCGAAGCCGATTTTGATATTTTTTAAAATATCGATGTATCGATATATCGATATTTTTTTCAACTTTCGACATCCCTAGTAGTAGCAATGTGGTCAGTAATTTCGAGAATTTCGAACCCATTATAAAAGAAGACGCTAACAAATGTAATTAACGCGAATAAAGCAAATAAAATAAATCCAAAAACGTGTACGATTTACATTACAGTAACACACATCAGATCATATCTGATGTAATTAATTTCTCACGTGGCAGGCAGGGTATATAGGTGCTTGCGTCACACCGGCTCATCTCTCAATTTTATATGGCATAACTCTTCAACGCTACTCGATGTCCGAGCGCCTTGGGACACAGTGTCATGTTGTGTTAATATTGTGCCACAAGAAGAGATTTCGGTTAGATTTTTATGCAAGGCCAGTTGGAACCAGGGGGCTAATTGCCTAATGGAATTGCTATCTATCGCTATCACTTACGATTTCATTTTGTTACTTCTGGCCACCGAAGGTTGTCAAATGACTCGCGCTCTTTTCTTCTTCTTTTGCATTGGTAATTACAAATTGAAATTGTAAGCGATAGCGATAACCATAGCAATCACGTTAGGCGATTGAACCCCAGGCTGTTTGTATAATAGGGTTGAGACAAAAGAGTGAAAAGAAAGAAACAGTTCTCTAATCTATTTTAGAAAAGTTCAATTATAAAATGCAAATCTGTATCGGTCGATCAGTAGATGCTTCAGAATACTGTGTGTCAGTCGGTCGATATATTTTTTATTATTATTAGGCTATCTCACTGTGTCCCACATCAACATAATATTTACCAGAATATAACAATTTTAGGACTGCACGCACGTATTAATTATGTTATGCAATTAAATGCGAAACATCAAAATGTTTGGCGGCTACACGGGCGGCGCACTGCTCGATTTTAGCGTATCACGACATAATTTTCATTTAACCAGCGATTCCTTGTTTATTTTAGTTTATGATATTTTGTAATGTTGGTCGGTACCCGAATTCCAACGATCTCACATTAGAATTGATTTCATAACCTTTACGTCTGTTATTAATGTAATGGAATGGAGAATATCACAAACATGTAATTTTGCAAATTAACATCATTTAATCTAAAGTATTGTGTAAACATAATTGACATGTCATATAATTTTAAATGTAGCACATGGTAATCAATTTATGTCTGTTGATATTCAGATATCGTATTTATTTTTCAAACTTGTTTTAGTTTTGTTTCGTAAGTTAAAGCTTTGATTGGCATTATGTTGTATAAAGACAATTTTAAAGAAAATATATTTTCTTTTGCAATATTGAGGTATATTCACTTCTACTTTTCTAGTTCTAAGAACGTCACAATCGCAAATCTTACATTTATATAATTAGTATAAACATAATTGGCTTAAAGAATCGCAATACTCGTTATTTTCTTCCTACGCAGTTCACCATTTCTGTAAGTTCACCTTAAGAATTTGTCTCTACGTTTAATAATACTAAAAGAGCGAATACATTTTATTAATATAATATCATTATTATAGCATTAAAATACTGCCTACGATATTATTCGTGAAGAGAAATTGTTATAAAGCTATTACATGGTTTAAATTACTTATCTGTCTCGTACAACACGATCAAAGGTTGTGACAGATAAATATCACTCAATTGGATCTGTGTCTATTAATCCCGACTCTACTGTTCCAGATGGTTTGATTAAACAGCGGTTTTTAACAAATATTTTCGGGCCTGCTTGCGTATGTGTTACGCTTTGTGACGTCTCATCGTGATTCATCTTGATTTTATTAGATTTAGATTTGCGTAGGTTTTAATTTCACTTACAGTTATATGATTGTGTTTGGGTGACTCATAAGGCGTATAAGAGCTTTTTAATGTGGAAGTTAAAATAAATCGAATGATAAATTGCTCTGATCTCTAGGATATGTAACAGAAACAGAACATTGAAATTTTTATTTTTCCACCAATCATACACCCGCTACCAAAGGATATTGCGTCACATAAATGATTGTGTATCTATTGTACCTAGGTTGGTACCTTTTTACTATATAGATTAATTTAGAAAAATATCGTGGGTAACGAACAATTGTATTGTTTACGGAATCAAAGCCGAATACATCGTTGAATTCGATACCATAGGTACCAATAAAGTGCCTAAACAAAAGTGGAGGAGGTTTTATTTTCGTCAGTACGTATTTCTCAACGATAATATTGGTATTTCTTATCAAAGTTTTGATCAGCTTTAAGGACATTTTGATAAACAAAACTTACTCTTGGGATACCGCAAATGGTTAGCGCGTTCAGCTGCGATCGTTAATGTTAAGCAATATTCACAGTGGTCGGCCATTGGATGGGTAACCAAAAATTTAGTATCTGAAGTCAAGCCGCTGGTCCCGACTGCATCTGCAGTCGTTCGCACCCATCAATCTGCATTGGGCCCGCGTGGTGGGTCATGACCCAATCTCCCTATTCCATTCATAAGGAAGGCCTGTGCCCCAGCAGTGAGGACATTAATAGGCTGATGATGATAAAACCTTTGCGATACTGTACTGTGGGCTCTCTTCGATGGATGGGTATGGTACAAAACGCGGCAGCATCATCTCCGGCTGCGCGGGCGACGGCGATCGCTGTATACTGAGGTTGAGCGGCGCGTCGGAGTCTGGCGGTGTCAGTGAACGTAGAATTATAGGTAAACTCACTATTAACAGCTGCGTTGTACTCGTCCTCCTTCGCGATGCTGTACTGCGGGCTCTCTTCAATAGGCGGGTATGGTACGAAACGCGGCAGCATCATCGAAGGCTGCGCGGGCGACGGCGATCGCTGCTTGCTGAGGTTGAGCGGCGCGTCGGGGTCCTGAGGGGGCGGCGAACGCGCGCTGGCCGTGAGCTGCGCCAGCTGTGCGGTAGCCGGCCAGGAGGATGAGACCTGTACAAAATAAATGGTTTGTTAAAGATATACGCTTGATTCAACTGTGTAGTTTGCTCGGACAACGTAAGATGCGGGAATGGGGAACCCCGTTTAGGTTTAATTGTTCGTGGTATTTTTTTTTCTTTTATGGTTGAATTAAGATCGCTCATATTATGCCGAGTCACAGCGGAGCGGAGCGGGCCACAGCGGAGCGGAGCGGGCCACAGCGCATCGCAAAATGCGTAAAGTACATTAGTCCCGGGTCGCAGAGCAAAGTCAAAGTCAAAGTCAAAATTTCTTTATTCATTTAGGTACAATTTGCACGCTTATGAAAGTCAAATTTGATGCCATCGGTTCAAGAGTCTACCAGAAATCCTTGTCTGAGAAGAACCGGCAAGATACTCGGCAAGTTTTATCCTCCCTTTACATTTTCTATTTTTATTTATTTGGTAAGAGTCATAATCCACATCAGGTCTTTAATAATTTAATTAATATTAAAAGTATACATAAATAAAATACCAGTAGTTACTACGAAATTTGGTACAGTGTATTGCCAGCATTCGTGTAACTGTATGCACTTCAATCCGCTTAATATAGCACACTGTGTGGCGCTGGGGCGCTGAAAGGCAGGGCGCATCCTTAGATTAAAACAAAAACAAAAAGGGCGCATCGCCTCGTACGCAAGCGCAACCAAAATCCGCGGTAGATTATGCGGCCTACTGCGCCCCGGCAGAGTATGCGATAGTTCATGTCAAATACATACGAGCGATTGTAGCGGATTTTTGTCCGGCCCGGCATAATGTGCGCTATCCATGAAAAGGCACTTAATTGATGATAATATAACTAAATGATAAAAAAGACGAATCAAGTTTAGGGTGAATCACCTATTAAATATCATAATCCATATCAATTGAAATGGTAAGTAGGTAAGTAGCGGATTTTGCATCCGTTTTGGGGAATATATACTTTACTACTTTGTACCTAGGTACTGTCATAGCTGTTCAGAATAAGTTGGTGTTGTGATTAAGAATACAAAGAACAGAGTGACTGAAGCCACAATTATCATTCACATGTTTCAACATGTGACGGATAAATATATATTTTTTATTTTTTTCAAGCATTTAACTCCTAGATGTTTTTAAATAAAAAGAAAATTTTACTAGAAAAAGTTCTACAAGGACCAGGCAGCAGACGTAACTCAAACCCGCACCCTACGAATATACTGACCATTATGCTACCGCAGCCCTGACGGCCGTGTCGTGATTTTCTCTAGCCTTCTTAAGCTGAAAGGCAGCGCTATCTCTTCGCTTTGTAAGTAACCCACAATGCGTGTGGAATTTTTCTAGTAAAATTTTCTTTACATTAAAATATGACAGGTAAATTGAAAGAAAATCATCATAATTTCTAAAGATTAACAGGTAGCGAAAGAAAGACAAAGAACTTGCCACCAGCAACTTTTCTGCAGAGACTAGAAAGTTATTGGCAAAGATAGTAAAAAGCCTATCATATTCTGACCAGTATTTACTTCTTCCTATCTCATAAAAAACATAATAATAATATGTTTACCAAATAATAATCTCGTCGATGGCGCAAGTAGTTAGCGCGTTCGACTGTGATCGTTGAAGTTAAGCAACTTTCGCAGTGGTCGGTCATTGGATGGGTGACCAAAAATTTACTAATCTCGAGCTTCTCCGTGCTTTGCAAGGCACGTTAAGTCGATGGTCCCGGCTGCATCTGCAGTCGTTAGCACCCACCAATCCGCACTGGGCTCACGTAGTGGGTCATTGCCCAAACTCCCTATTTCATCCATAGGGAAGGCCTGTGCCCCCGCAGTGGGGACATTAATAGGCTGATGATGATGATAATAAATAATTTATTAATAACATTATTTTGGATTTCAAAGTCAACTGTTATACCTGCCTTTTTAATCAGGTTATATAAAATTCCGGTGAAAGTAAAATACTTAGGTAGGTACATATACTTTATAAAAAATCCTACACTCTAGAACGCCGGTAAGTATAATTCCGTAAACTTTCTTTAATGTAACGCGCATAATCATTATTGTCCAATATACGTGTGATCTTGACGCCAATAATAACAAAATTACATTGTTGACTCCGAGCCCGCAGGCTGGGATACTAAATAATAGGAAAGAATAGGCTTCTTAGATAAAGGCAGGGACACACTGAGCCTGCAAAGGCAGACGCGCTGCTACTCCCCTCAGTAAAGTCGATAGTATTTTTTTTTTATTTTTATAAATAGGTCCGACAAATGACTCCGCCCCACCGGATGTTAAGTGACGGTGAAGTCCAGTCGTGAAAATAGCAGTTCTACCTGCCACACCAGCCATCCTCACCTTGCCGGCCTGCATGTTTCTTGTTGAGGGAACACGTGCGCGGGCAGAGCATTCCATTTATTTATTAGATATTTATTAGGTATAGGACTAACTTAACTTTTGAATGAAATAATTGTATTATTCTACCGATTACATACATTCCAACTATTTTGGGAGCAACAAACTACATCCAGATCTACCTACGGTTAAGGAAATAAGTAATGTTAGTGTTCTGTAGTTCACTTTAAGCTAACGTCATAAGTAGGGCTTACTTAACGCCGTTAATATTTGATGAATTGAAAAAAAAAACACTTTTGGTTTTCATTGACACATTCAACATATTGTTTTAAACTTGAACTGAAGTAATTGCGTCTAGATAGATGATCACACATCACACACATCTACCCGCAATTACTTCAGTTACTCCGTGGTTATGGCGTTTGCAACAGTGCCGAAATATCGGAGACTCATAAAAAACAAGGTACATGGTAACAATCCCGTTAATAGTTATAACATTCAATATAGTTGTAATGCAAGCTTGCAAAAGCTACAAAATTATTATTATTTTTTCTCCTTATTTTGTAGATGCCGATGTGATGCTACCTTAATAGTTGTAGGTACATAAACAACCAAAAGAAAGTTGTTCCACAAACAAAATAGAGAGACCTGTTAACAATCGCATTTTACTTGACGCAGCATCGAGCACATCTTCACCCAGCAACCGGATTGTCGCCCAAGTTGCCTCAATTAATTTATAGTAGCATCCACACCCGAAAAACATTACAGTTTATAATGAAATAAAACCAAACCGATGACAAATGGCTAATAGTCGCGTCCAAAGTTGATTATAATTTTACATAACTAGCCCAGGTTTGTTCGTAATTAGAAAAAACAACTTTCATTTTCAAAACTTGGAAGACGAGTAGTTGTTTTGTGTTTACGAAACATTAGAACGGGGCTACTTGTTGTAATTTTGTTTGAAATTTCTATTAAAAATGATTTACATTATAAACTTCTTGAGCAAAAGCACAGACTGTAGACGTTTTTTTTTGTGTATAAAACTGCTATTGCGCGGACGGCTAAGGTCGATGTTCAAGAAGTTTGCCGGGGTGTATACTAAATAGTTACACCATATTAGGCCAACATTTAGGTTCAGATTTAACACAAACTAGCGAACAAATCTTCTACGAATGGGCATTAACGAGAAATTTGGAAGAGTCGAGTCAAGATTCCAATACAAAAAAATACGCGTGGCACTCGGGGACTGCCCCGGTAAAGCTATTGCATGGGATTATTTATCAACTTATGCTTATAATTTATTTATTTTATTTATGCAGTATTTTTTTTTGATATTAATTCAATTTTTTTCTTGGATATTAATAGATGGCGAGGCAGTCCTTATGATATTTTATTGGGCAAGCACAGCAAACAACAGCATTGCCCGGCGCCAAAAAACTTCCACAGGCTCCAGAGTTTACCATCTTTAGTCCAAAAATTTAAATTATAATTATAAAGTCCAAATAAAAGGGAGACAAATTAAAATAAGAACAGGTGCTGGGGTCTAACACAAATACAAAAAAGGAAAAAAATAATAAAAATAAATACGAGTGCGACGAGACTTGAATGACGACCGCGGTGATGCGTCGAACGTTGGTCCCGTGGCAAAAATTTAACACACGGCGCCGTTTCGATCGATACTGGAAAGGCAAAAATTGTGTTCATATGCACTGTTGTCAGGTTATTTTCGTTACGGATTTTTTTGATTCGGTCGCCGCGCTCAAAGCACGCGATAAAATCTATGCAATAGCTTAAAAACTGATTTACTAATTTTCAACCGTGAGTCTATGAAAAATCCACTTATGCCCTTGTAATTATTTCTCAATAATTATTTATATTCATCCAGAGTCTTTTATTTATAGCAAGAATTTAAAAGGCCACCTTAAGTAATCCGAATACGTAGTTTGAACCATAAAAGGATGTACAAAAGCTTAAGAATAGAAATTCAAGATTAAGTCAGAGAGTTTCTAATAAAAACAGACGCCATAAGGACGTCGAGTTGCGGAAAGGCCCGTTGCAAGAAGAAGAAGAGAACTTACAGAGATACTGATGCAACATAATAAACCTTTGATATTATAAAACAAACGTTTAACAAACCGGCGAAATCGACCTCAAAGTGCATAACCTGCTTTCTCACCAAACACCTCTGTACATCTTCGATTGCGTAATTAATTACCAATGTAACAATTTATCTGGAGCCATTAGGATTTAGTTACATTGCTTAATAGTAAAATATCGGCCGCTGTCTATAGCTATTACCAACAAAATTAATACTACACATTATAAAAATTCCCACAATTATAGGTTGGGCAAAGATATAAAACACGTTTGTACTAATATATTGATTACTTCAACAGTCGAATTGATATTTTACACTTGGCTCTTTAGTTTCTTGTCTTAGATGCTATGTTTCTTTGTATCATTATAATTAGATAGCATTAACGGTCTACTTGTATAATTTGCGTTAAAGATTTCAATTTGTGGGTGATCAATTTTATGTTCGCCTCTAAAATTTGTTACCCGAGGAAGATGTGCGGTATATAAATTTCGTCATTATAAAATGGATGCTAAGTTATTATTACTAATAGAGAAAAACAATTTTTACACAGATTCAAGTGTTTCTCTAAATCAAATATGCTTAATCGATGATGCTGACAATAACAGTTAGGAAATATTTATATTATTTGAAAATTTAGATTTCTGTATATGATTATGGCGCCTGGGTACTTTACCATAGCATAGTAGCATACTTTTAAATTACTTGGCAATGGACGGACTGGATCCATTTCTAGTATTATATCACTATTTATAATTGTATAATAACTAAAAATACTAGAAAATGGTTGAGCGAAGCGATGGCAGGTTCATGCGTCATACTCATGAACGGGTGCTGCCAGTGGAGATGAGTCTGCTCTTGCTACACTGGGCACTATGAATCGTTGATTTAACTTTAATCATTTTTTTACGTCTGAATAGTAGACCGTCATTCCTAAACATTCCTAAACTTTGTTAAATCAGTTTTTTACATATTTTTTATTTTGATAGTCATAATTTTCATATCCTTTACATTTGTATTAGAAAGTGACTTCATGAGTTATCTCATTTGAAGTCATTTTTAAATTTGACGACTCTGTATATAATACATGGACAAAAAAACAACCCTTGCTGAGTTTCTTGCCGGTTCTTCTCAGTACAAGGTCTCCCGCCGTAGATTTGCGAACCGATGGCGCGTAAAGCTTTTCGATATTCACAAGTGCTTGTAACAGCCTAGACTGGATAAATGATATTGAATTTGGAATATACTTCGTGGAGTGGTGGTGTGGGGATCCTTGGTGGAGGTCTATGCTCAGCTCCACCGTAACTTTACCCATGTTCTGAACGACCATTCGCTACTTTGGCCGCTACTGTAGGTACTTCCAGCAGCAGGCATTGTACGACTGATAAGATGATTATATTTTTTTTAACGGCATTATATTTATATGTAATTAAAATTTTACTAAAAGAAATCCACGTAGTCCAGACAGTAGACGGGACTCGAATCGAAATCGCATCCTTTGATATCCGGGCGAATAAGATGATGTTAAACTTACGTTTGGAGGTGGTTGCTGCGGCCGCATCTGTTCCAGCAGTGGAAGTAGCGCGAGTGGCGGTCCAGGGTAGAGGCCGTGCTGTCCGCGCCGCACCATCTCTTGTCTCCGGAGCTGTTCCTGCTGCAGTCTCTGGATCTCCAGTTCCGCCGTCACGTTTCCCATGTTCTGGAACAAAGAAATTGGGGCAATTTTAATTATGACGGTTTGGTTGTGACTAAATTTTCGCAAAAGGTGATTTTATTTGACTATAATTTATCTTTAACTACACACATCAAAAGTGTCTAGGGATCAAGCATTTTTATGCGGATTTCTTGAGATTGAGATGTGGCTTTGTAATAAATTTATGATTTTATAAATTTATATGGATCCTTTTTGGTGCATTTCATAATTTGAATCAGGAACTGTGAATCAAATTCGAGTAAAAGATGAAAATCAGCTGTCAATATTTTCCCTATAAAAACATACAACGCATTGAAGACATTATTAGTGCTACTGTTTCCCTACTACTGATTAAAACCAACGTTATTATGGAGCGGCGACGTCATTTAAGCAGGGAAGAAATGCTCAGAGCCGTGGGAATGATAGAAGCTGGTTCCCGGCAACGTACTGTGGCTTTAGCTCTGAATACAAGTCAGAGTGTTATCAGTCGACTTTGGACACGATACCGAAGCACTGGTACCGTGGCTGAGCGCCATGGAGGACGGTATCGCTGCACCACACGGAGACAAGACCGATACATTCAAATCTTAACTCGAAGAGCTCCAACAATAACCGCCATGATGTTAGCCGTGAGGCTTCATCACTCTTCAGGGAACTTAATTAGCGACCAAACAGTCAGAAACCGCTTGCATGAAGTGAACCTTCATTCCCGAAGACCGCTACGGGTACCACCTATAGCAATGCACAATCGTAGGATTCGATATCAATGGGCTCTTGAACACAGAAATTGGGCAGAAGAACAATGGCGTTTCGTGTGCTTTTCTGATGAGTCTCGTTTTGGTATGAGACCGGATACAAGACGTATACGACACTGGAGAACCCCTGGACGCCAACAGCGATTAAAATCCTGCCAGGAAGTCCATCCTTATAGTGGTGGAACCATCATGGTATGGGCGGGTATTTGGATCGGCGGAAGAACTGAGTTGATTTGGATCAGAGGCAACCTCAACGCTCAAATTTATGCTGAGACGATTGTATCAGACGTCATCGTTCCTCTACAAGTGCAAATCGGTCCCTTATTTCAGTTAATGCATGATAATGCACGACCGCACACCGCAAGAGTTGTAAGACAGACTCTCGCCGCAGCTAACATCAATGTCCTGCCCTGGCCTGCTCAGTCGCCAGACTTGAACCCGATTGAGCATGCATGGGATATGCTACAGAGAAGAGCTCTGCCGAATATGGAGGGTATCCAGTCGCAAGAAGACCTTTTTTTGTTGTTGCAACGAACATGGGCGGCCATTCCACAGCGTGATTTGGATGAACTCATTTTGAGTATGCCAAACCGATGTTCTTGTGTTGTTAGTGTTCGCGGTAGAAATACGGATTATTAATTGTTTAAGTTACCCAATAAAATTTTAGAGAAAACTGTTATTTCAGTCTTTTTTTCGAACTTTTGTGTTAGTGGTTCAAATGTCAAAAATCCCTTTATTAGGAAAATGGCAAATTTCTTTATTAATGCAAAGGTGACTTGGTTTATCGTTACTGTGACAAACGAAAACACTTTATTTGATGAATCCTTAAAGAAAATTTTAATTAATATCAATCAGGAGAAAAGTTATTGCAAAAATATATGTTGATCCCTAGACACTTTTGATGTGTGTAGTTGTCCGTCCTCGTTTCCTTCGGTGTAGATGATAGATTTGTTCAAATTCTCAGGATTGAATTATACTTAATATTATATAAACCTACCGTGAAAATATTCTATTGCCTATGTTCATCAGGGATAATGTTGGATTCTAAATGTGAAAAAAAAATGATAACCTTCGTGGCCGAGTGGTTTGTACGCCATGTTTCATGGTGTCGCCGACTCGAGAAGTCCCGGGTTCGAATCCCAGTGGGGGCAGATGTTTGTGTGATGAATACGAGCATTTGTACTCCAGTCATGGTTGTTTAATATGTATTTCTGTATAAATATATTTATATTGTACTGTATACGTATTCTATATACCATAACACAAACTTTACAGTGCTTAGTATGGGGCTAGGATAATTGGTGTGAGCGTTGGAAATACTTATTTATTTATTGTTTAATTTCTCAAATCGGTCAAGGAGTTTCGGAGCCGCAAACAAGAGTAATTATTATGTAATATTATTAGATTTATTAGTATAGATTATAAAAAAGGCCAATCGTTAATTTGTTAATGATGTTATAGTTTCCTGAGGTAACTATCGCAATTATTTTATTAAAGTAATTATTAAGTTTATTAAAACAACCTAATTTTGTTTAAATGAAGTAAGGTGATCATAGACAGTCGTAATTTATAAACAAACCAAAAATAAAATCATAACGAGAAAAGAAAATCAACATGTTCTCATTTATATTGAAACATTGTAAAACAATGTTGACGAAGCTACAGTAAAAGACCACATATCACCTGCATCTCACATTGTTAACATAACTGTACTTAAACTTCATCCGAAAATGAGTTAATGCTGGGAGTACGGCTCAAAAGGACATGATAATGAAGTACCAATTGATCCGCGGTAATTGTGCGTCAAGAAAAGTTAAAACAAAACCGGCCAAATTGCTGCGCTTTCGGCCATCACTCTTAACGAGGGACCGTTCGTCGCGAAATTCGTGCCTCGCAATATATTGCACGTTTAAACCGAGCCGCAACAAAGGAAACCCAGAAAGGCAACAAATCAACAGCTTCGACACACACTATATCACCAAAGCAATAAAGCAAAATACCAAAAAAAGAAAGATCCCGATTAATTGCTGCGAGTCGTGACGAATACCACAATATACATTTTATCGGCTCTTCATTAAGACAGTATTGAATTGTTAATGGTTGTACGGAGTAAGACATTATAAGGTGACGAAATCGGAACAGCTCGATGATGCGAGTTTCCGCACGGACGCGCACAGCGACGCCAATGTAAAATATCTTTCGGAAAGTACTTTTCTGCATCTGACAGATGTTTTAAGTGAATAACCGACGGCGGAAATGAAAAAATCACTTCACTAATGGAAGACAAAAGCGAAACAAACATGACATAATCGAAGTGCGGCGAAAAAAATATTAAATGCAAAAAGGCCCGTAATAGGTATCCCGGCGATACGGGCGCCACCGGTGATCGAGCAAGTTTTTCCATCGGCCTGACAAATTGCCGTCATAACCGAACGGATTAAACTTTTTATTAAAAACAACAAACTGAGCATAATGTATGGGCGTAATCGGCAAGGGACAGATGTTCCCGAATAACGTGCGCGATTTATCTAATGTAAAAAGACTTTTATTTAATAGCTCTGCGGAGATGTCCTAGCAATTGGCGCTTATATTTTACGGCGGACCGTCGTTTTGGCATTTCGACCGCGCTTTGATGGCATTATTAATGTTCGGCAAGATATAAAAATGTGATTTTTGATGAAAGTGACCAACCAGATGGCGTAACATATTATTGTTGTAAACTCGCAGGTGGAAAGCATTCCTGGAGTATGGCCCACAATTTATTGGTAATTATTAAAGTCTCCTATAATGATTGGTTTGCCAACTGAAACAGTTGGGGGTGATGCTGGCGTCACTTGGAGCGTCGCACGCGCCGAATTTCGATCAATAACGGCCAACGATATTAATAAACTCCCAGGAACTAATACATCACCTGTCAAATAATTGGATCTTCAGCCTTCGTTGTTGCTGAAGAAGATGACAAACGAACAGATCATAAATCAAATTCCACGAATCCTCATTAAGCTATTATCAGAAACAGCGACGATCGAGATGAAAGCTCGGATTAGGGGCACATCAAAAACAATAAGCCCGATGAATATATTAAGGACAAAGAGATCCGAAATGGTGAGACGGCCGGACATTCCATGACATAATTTATAAAGCCGGGACGTCCAATATGAAAATAGTGCTCTCCGGGGTTGCGTTAGACGATTATAGCCTTTTAGTTTTTCGGATTAAGATCTGTTTGAGACTATAAAAATTTGATTCAGACGATGCGTATGGGAAGCCGGGTAATGAAACAGACGTCACATTGACGTCAGCGATGCAAGATCTCGGGTGAAATCATAATATTTACTGTCACCGTTGGACGCGTCCCCATTTCCAGATAGATTATACGAGTCATGGATTTAGGATTTGAGTAATTTCAAATTATGTAAGACGGTACGCCTACCGAAGAACACTCGGGTTGCCAATGAGATCGCGATTAAACGGCAACAGATTATAAATTAGCTGAAACACTTTGTAATGAATGAAGTAAGTACCGACTCTGCATATAATAGGGATGATGACTAATTTTTAATTTTCTTCGTTTATCAGGTAGATTATTAAAAAGCATTGGACACGTATTTTTTCTTTTTTCACATAATATAAAGATTTCAGAGATATATTGATTTGAAAAGTCGCATGACGTCATGTTTTGGTACACTTTTAAGTGAAAATTCACTAAAAAGTGACGTCACGAGCCCCTACTCCCAAACTTTGAAGCGCTATAACTTTGTCATTTTTTGGTTGATTGCCCAAAGAAAAAATACGTGTCCATTATTTTTGATCATCTAACTAACGGACTAAATAGAATTTCGTTACTGTACCCCGTCATCACCCCTATTATGTTAATAATTTAATAGGTAATATATCGTAGTATGATAAAAATATGAATATTATCTACTTTATTAAACAAAAGAAACATTTGAAACCCAAAAGACTTTATAAGTAATAAATTATGTAGTTCTAGTTAGTAGGTAGCACGTGGTTAGGAATATTCAATATTATATTCCTACTATACATACTAATAATAAATAATGATAAATAATAGATACATCTATTTAATTAGAACATAGATAATGCAATTTTCAATCTAAAAAAAGACATGCTCCTTGCACTTAGTGATAGATTGCATCTTATTATTCTTTCAACACGTTTGTCAGGCAATCGCACAGGATGCTGATCAACTTTAAACTTTATTCGAAAGTAATAAGGGTTAAAATAAAA